AAAGAAAGAAAAACGCAGATATTCACACGTGGCTCGATTTTCTTCATACACGTCGCGCGCGCAATTACATTTGTTTCAACATAGATGTGAGATAATTAGTCGAGTATAATAATATGATTGAAAGTGAAAAGGAGTTAACACGCGAGACTTTAATTTACTCCATGTAATTTAGATCAGAGAACGAGTATTACAATAAAATATGTATTCATACGCGTTACGTGATATTATATTCTCTCGATATCTCGCGAGATTGATATAATAATACAGTTATTCAACGAAAGCGGTTTTGGGTAAAAACCAATATTACCGATGTACTGTATAGCATTATCAATTATAGACTATTGTATTGTTCGAATAAATGTAATGAATATCGCGATGTATCGATGAATTTGGATAGAAATGATTGCATATGTCGCAATATCACATAAGCGACATATATATATATATATATATATATATCGATTTTAAAATAAATAAAATATTTAAGTCGTACAAATCTGTGAGAAAATGTAACATTACTCTATACAGAAAAGTATTCTATTTATTTCAAATAATTAAAAATAAATAAATAAAAATCATCGCAAATCTTTAAGTTTTTCGAAATATACTAACCGAATTATAGTAAACTTATTATACACTATAATGCTTTGTAATAACGCAACGTATTACAAGTCAATGTCGAAATAAATTCATCGATAAGAATCCTTTATCATAGAACGTAGTCTGGGCTCAAAACGTTGAAATACCCGCATTATGCATGCTTCGCGCAAAGTTTCTTCGTAAAACAGACTTCCGTAAACGATGATTAAACGATTAAACGGTCTCTCCAGGAAACTAACGCAGGAAATCAGTAAACAAATTGCGCATTAAACGTAATTCCCGAAACCGGGGCAGCTTGGGTTAATGCAAATGTCTTAATGAGGGCGATATTGCGCGCGCTCGTATAAAGCTCTTTGCTCGCTTAAATCACTATCGACGGGACGGGTGCCTGTCAGCGGGATCGATAGCCCGTTTCATCATAATTCCGACGGATTTGTGCTTTCGGTATGATATATGTATATATATATATACATCCAGATACGCGTAAAGCAACGCAACGCAGCGCGCGAATATGTGTAACATTTACATAAACGTATGTAAACAGGATGTTCGTTTATTGACGTATTTAAAATTTGCGCACGCAAATGCTACTCGAAAACTGCGCGCTGTCATATTTACGCGAGAAAGATGCCCCTCTACGATAATTTACTTATATATCATCTCCTCTTGGTTCGCAGCTTCTAAAGTTTCATCATGAAACAACTTGATAACTAGACGAGATTCTGTTAAGTGAAATTGAAATTGACATTAACTATAAAAGCTCTCAAAAGAAATTAAAATCTTCTTAGGCGGAATATATTTCACGATCTTTCAATATTGATATCAACAGTTGCTTTCATTTACTGATTCAATACTTCAATTACTTTTTAAAATAGTATATTGACCCCCTATTTGTATACTAGTATAATTACCATTTGATTTTTATATATCACTCAAAAAAATGTCTTGCTGATATAGGTAGATTTCTAGGTGTCACAACAAAAATTTATCGCTATTTTTTGTATCTGTTAGAATATTGTCTGTTACATATAGAATTTATAGCAGCAATATTCTAATAATATCTTCTAGAAAATTTAGGTCCCATTGCCAAATGTTAATCACTGCATTGGATAAATATGAGTTTCGATACTACAGCTAGAACGATCTTTGTGAGAAATATAACTGCCAATTATAACTGCAGCATCGAAAAATTGAGAGAAATTGTTTAAAAGAGCTAGATAGATTGGGCGCGTTATACAAATATGTTAGATGTGAGGATTATATATTCATTTGTTTCTTGCCGCTAATTTTTTCTGTGTACCACAGCCAAACTTTATAACAAGTATGATTGGCCTTAACATGGATAGGCGCCACAGAAAAACATTCTTTCTAAATTTCACAAACAGTTCAGATATAAATTCTGTCTCTGTCTCTTAGATTGATTAAATGCGAAACATATGCGATATCACAGTATTTGCTAATCATTTATGTACCTCAGTTAATTTTGCGCACCCAGAAAATTTTTGCTGTGGTTGCAATACCACTTTTTTAAGTGATATTATATATATGCAACGATTTATTATATATATAATTTTTCTCACATATTAATATTATTATGAGAAAATCATTCTCTCTGTCGTGTCAATTTGGAGAATTAACACGATAATCTCAATCTTACAAATTTCTTATCCGCAATAATATATAATACATATATATCACCCATATCGATTTTTCCTTCGTCAGAGGAAAGACATTTTAATGACGATGTCTATGACGAAAGCACTCGGTTAAACGAGAAATGCTCACAAAAACGGGTCGGATTACCTGATGGTAGGTAGGCAGCCCTGGCAGAGCCGGAGTTCGGAGGCTCTAGAGAGAGCTCGGCTTACCTTATTGGATTCCCGGGTTATCTTGGCCCGCTTCGAGGAATAATGTCACCCCGTCGCGAGAGCCTTCGTTTGTTTGAATTGTTTGACGAGGAAAAACGATATTCGCCATTGCCGCCTGGCTGGCTGGCATGAATTTCTATCTTTCGCATTCCCGTTCATCTCGAGTTTATCACAAACTTTTGCCGCGCTAAATTGCAGCAACGGATATCAAATTAATGTCATTATTTGAATGACTATTGCATTATGCCGTATCTCTCTCGCTCTATTTCTGTTTTAGGCCGAACGTGTATTTGCACACGTGCAGACGTGTTTTTTTTTACTTGCATATTTTCACTGACCGAGGTTTGACGTAAAAGAGCTCCTACGTATTTTTGATTCATCAGTTACACCGTTAAACGTAACGGCAAAACCGAGAAGAAAATTGTTAAATAACTTATTTATTTCTGTCATATATGCTTAATATTATTTTTAATCCTGATGATTCAATATACAAAACATAATTAATAGAGTTTATTCGTATATTCACGATATTTTTACTATCACAATCTGTTGCAAAAACTTAATTATCACATATCAGATAAAAATTAAAAAAAACGTGCTTAATAAAATATTAATATCTTATAAATTCTTAAAATTTTTTGTAATTTTCGTTAAAAACAATCATTTCTTAGATATCGAAGTAAAGAGAAAACATTTATCATAGAAATACACGCACGTATAAGCCGTGAAACCTAATGCATTCCTCTGTCCCTAACGTGAAACAAAAAGAAATATATTTCTCGACAGGTTCGCATCCTCTTGCCAAGATAATCGCGACGCGTGGACGAAATATAGCGTAAATGACGGCAATGCGCTTCCATCGCCAAGGTATTCCTTGACGTAATCGTGCAATATTCTCTACGCATTTGCCCACGACAGTTATTTCAAATAAATTCGATCCAATACAGATGAAAACTTTCAAAAAGAATAGAAATAAAATTTGAATGACTCAATAATATATTTTACTCAATAATATAATTACCTTTAAATAAATAGCTTAAAAATTCCCGATATTTGAACAATACTTTTTAAAAATATAATCCAACAAAATCATCAACCAATTTATTGTTGCCTTTTTACAATAAAATAATTTTGCTTAGAAAGAAACTATTAATATTGTAATTTATACGTCAATAGAGAGAGAGAGAGAGAGAGAGAGAGAGAGAGGAAGGTTACAAATTAAAAAGAAATTTTTGTTACATACTCGGTATAATCAGATAAAAAGTTCGCACCAAAGTTCATCCTCTTATCGGTTTCTTAGCTTCCTTATTACATCTCCATCTCTCCTCGATCGCGGTTTTACAAGAAATTACGTTTCGCCACCCTTTCAAAACGCGAGATTTCGATAAAATTGCGGTTCGTAGAAGCAAAGGAAATAAGCCGCGTGAAGAAGTGGAGATAACGCAAAAGACCAGGCTATCAGCACGATAGCGATAACGAGCTACGAGAAAACCTCGCACATGCTTTGATCCGTGATCCTGAGTCGTGAGGATGCCATTTGGGCGTGATCCATAAAAGGATATTTCAAAGTTCCCCGATCGCGGGCGAGATATAGGGTATAAGACGGCGAGAATATTGAATTTCCCTCCCTCCCCCCTGCCTGATCTACAATGCCACTCTAGATACGCCGAAAATAACGTTCACCAGAGCCGATTTCCACTGAGAGCAATTTACTTTTGGCCGCCTCGCAAGCCTTTCTCTCCAGGACGTCAATTCCGATATATCGAAAGTGCAACGATGCCTTTGACGAGCAAATCGAATCGACGTAGACTATAAAGGGTCGCAACCGTGTCATTTCGCTCGCACATTGCACTCGCCGTCGCCAGCTGCTAAGTCCCGTTGGCAAATTGCCAAGATAGGCTTTTCTGTTACCAAAACAAGGCTTCCGCACCCGGATTTGACTTCTAATTCCTGTTTAAATAGCATCCCGTTTATTTATTCAGTGCCAATAATTTGTTCGTGAAATATCAAATTTTATGACTAAAAGAAATAATTTTAAAAATATTATAGATTAATATATGTCAAATTGCCAATAATTTAATATATTGCTATGAAATATCAGAAATTTATATAATATTCAAGTATAAAAAAATTAATTTTTTATATATATAAAATTTTTTTAGTAAACTTCCTCGATTATTTCAAAGAAACATGGTGGACATTTTTCTCTATTTTTTTAAGAATTCTCTGTGACTATCCATTTACTATAACCAACGATTAAGTTTCTCGTTTTACGTGTATGACAAAAAATTATTTATATATTGAAAACAGATTAATCATTTTAAAAATATCTCTTCTATTCTTTTACAATATTTTCTCATATATTCAATATAATATCAGCTATTAATTTCTTATAAAATGTAAAATCTATATTTCAAGTCCCACTCCTTATAATGGGAATGGTTACATTTGTCGAAATTTCGTTTACCACCTCGTAAATCGCGCTCGTAACTATCTGATTAATGCTTCCTCTTATTTGTTCCGCGAGAGCAGTCTCCGAGTTTGCCCAGGAGTTGGGCACCGCGATGGAGAGCCACTCTGCAAACGTGCGACGTCTGGTCGATGAATTTCGTAGCCGATCGGGCGACTCGAGAACCGACGTCGGCGGCATGCGACGCGTTTGGGAGAATTTGTTGCGGCAAGTCGAGGCGGATGCTGCATCTCATCTCGATTTGGCCGCGGTGCTACAGCAACAATTATCGAGACCCACCTTAGAGGCGAGCTTTCATCGAAAACTGCAATCGAGGAAGGTAAGCGCGGGGGTTGTGTGCCGAGAGATAAACGACGCGACTCTCTGTTATGTCTAAATTTACGAGAAATTGGAACCCTATGATGTAACTATTTATAATATCTCTTTGCTTTGAAGTAGAGATATTTATATTTCCGTTGACTGTTCCTTACTTTCAATTCGCTATTCCGCTATGTATCAAGCAACGATAATCAATTTACCCGAGTATCGCCATTCTGTGCTAGTGCAATCGCTATTTCAAAGACGCCATTTAATCGCTGCTCAGTAATCGAGTCACAAGAGACAAGTTTGCCGCATTTGGCATAAGGAGGAAGTGGTAAAGTTTCCCAAGCGACCTCCGCTCAATTATTCGGTCTTTCAAACTGGTTACGCGAACGGCATTTCGATTCGAGGCACACACCGCGTCTCCATACAATTTATCCCGTATTCCAGCGCAAGATATTCTCTCCTCGCAGGTATTCGCCCATCGCGACGCTTACGAGCAGGTGGTTAGCAAAACGGAGGAGAAGCTGCAGCGGGCGAGATTAGATTACAAGCGCGCCTATGGCGCGTTGCTAACCAACGATGGCAGTGGCGTCGAGCAGGAATTGAAGCGCGCTTACTTGGAATCGCACAACGCCTATATTCTGCAGCTACGAGCCACGAACGCCATCACCGAGCGTTATCAGTCCCATTGTCTACCGGGGCTGTTAGGCGAGATTGCCGAGGTCTACGAGGAACTCTGCGGATTGGCCTGCAAATGCGTTGCCGGTATTTCGGAGGCGGCCGGGGAGCGAGCCGGCGAGCAGGCCAAGCGTTATCAGGTCGTGTCTAAGGAAGCGCAAGCGGTTGTGCCATCCAACGATTTACAGGTAATCGTAAAAAGAAATGTTCTTTTTCGAAGAGATTTTTTAACCCCGCGCGAGAAACCGCTTATCTCTTCTTTCCTTTCTTTTTATCTTATTCCAATCTCACGAATATCCATTATAATAAATTCGAGAAAAAGTATTATACAAGTATTCATTACACATGATAAATGAGACAGAATATTGTACCTCTAGTTTTCATTATTTCTCGTTCTCGTTAAAAAAAATTAATGCGAGGGATTTGTTGCTACTTTATTAAAGTATGATTTATATTTATATGACACTTCTAACTGATTGTAAGTGGTGGAAGAGAAAAAAATATACGATTGTCTCTGTCACTATCTATTTATCTCTCTCTTTCTCTCTAACTCTATAATTCGTGTCTTTCACGAAGCTAAATCCCTCAACAGTTGGTGATATAATATCGGTTTCGATACGTCAATCGGAGCCGATCGATCGCGTGCAGATAGCTACGACTATCCGGACATATTGATCACGCATAGCAAATAGACGTACCGGGCATATATCCAATTTCGGGACGACGGGATGGATCCGATGTGGTGGATTACATTCATCGGTATTCGGAAGAGGGATACAAGGGTGAAAACAGGACCGGCTGATTAAAGTCGGTCATATCCCCTGCACGTCCGGCATATTGGACGCTCGGGATCGCGTCGCTTATGTGTGACGGGGATTAACTTGTTGGAAACGCGACGGTGGTATTCACTGATTTGTGCTCCTCGAATAAATCGAATCAACGCGCCAATTCTCATCACGATTTGTCACTTAAATGCAACGTAATTCTTATCTATATCGTAGATGTACCCGTTTTTCGCGATGTACAGTCGATTATTAATGAAGGAAAGATGATAAAATAATACGGCAAATATTTTTTTCAATGTTACATGATATATCAACATCGTTTCGTTGACGCTTTTAATTCCTTATATCTGATATACGATCTACAACGACAAAAAAATATATATTGATATATTAAAAATACGTAATATCTCTTATCTTTTGTATAAAATCAATACTTGATTAAAGAAGCAATGTAATGTTATTTAAGGCCTTGGCGCGAAATTTGTCCGCAAACGCGACATCACGGAAACCGCCGCGACGCTTGTACGTCGCGCCGGCACCACCCGAGCAGATACCGATGGAGAGAATCAGTCAAATACCCACGCTCAGGGACGAATTGGTACCAACGGGCATCAGTACGCTCCCTCTCATGGAAGATCTCAAACACGAATATGACAGCCTCACCCAGGAAATAGGTCGTCTGCAAGACGCTCTGGACGCTCTGGTGCGGATGCAACGCAAGTGCGTACGGTTATTTTTAACGCAACCGCATACGTTTCCTTCTTAGGGGAACGTAATTCTCGTATTATTTATATTAATCTCCGGGATATTCATTTTAAATCTTATTTACGAAAGACAAGTTTTTTCATATATATTTTTCCACAATTTTTTCTGTAAATAATTTATTTTTGTATTTTATTTAATCTTACGCGATCTCATAAATTTTCATTAAAATCGTTTTATTAATTACACGTGACATAATGTAAAATTTATTAAATATATTGAAAAATTTAAAAATAATAATTGATAAGTGAATAAATAAAACTTATTCTTTGCTGTTTTAAATGCATATCTTTTAGGTAAATATTTATCGTTGTATCCCCGAAGATATTAAGATTAACATCGCTTTTCAATTCCGCGCGCGCACATTTCTTACCTTCCCAAATATATTTTTCACCTGTCCCAGTAGATACGGTAACTTTTACACGAAAATATATCAGCTTTTTAATCTTTTAAGAAGAAACACACGCGGGTAAGAGTTACTTTATCACTTCCCATTGCAGGAGCGCCGAGAGTAATCTTTACACAAAAGTGGCAGAGCTGCAAGAAGATATTTCTCTCAAGCGTTTCGACCTCGGTGTGGCGCAATTACGTCTAGCCGCGGTGCAAGCACAGGTATGCATGTGTTCTTTGTATTCTTTTACAATTAACGCCGCTGCGTCCGCGCATATTTGTTATTTTATTCGTCTATATATAATACACACATTCCGAATATTAATACTTTATTCGGCGCAAAAAGTCTACTCATATTTTTTAGGATATGTCCGTTTTAAAAACACAATTTCTTTTCATATATTTCGTGTATTTATCGTATTAGTACGAATCACGGAAAATATAAGATTATACATATATATGAATTATGCGGATTTTTATGGAATGTAGTAAACCGAAATAGAATATATGCAATATAACATAATATATGTATATTAAAGTAAAAATTTAAAAACGAATGTAAACTTTGATTACATTCTACTATAGGCGTTTATTTAACGCTTCCACGATCACGATCTAAAATTGATCAGGTATCTATCCCCGCGTATTCCCTCCATTTCATCCAATTTGCTCAACAGCGCGTAACTTCGAGCCACATTTCATCTATATGCAGTATACGGGATGCATCAGTGAATGGTTGCTTAATTGTTCGAATGTCATTAATCGAAAGCGAAAATTAAGTAGTATCATCTAAAATTGACAATAGAAAAAGAATGTTAAGAGTAGTGTAAAATCGTCGGTACTAATGATCATAAGCATCTATGAATTATTATTTAATTATTTTATTGAAATAATAATTGTGAAAATTGATAGCAGCAAGATCTTTCGTGTTTGCAAGATAATTTTTACTCTATTTAGTAATTTATAGGCCAAATTCCAATTTATGAGCATGTTACGTTCCTTAAAATATATTTTATAAATTGAATTCCTTTTCGAAAGAAATATGTTAAATTTCATTAGCGTATTTCTGAAACAAACTAATTTTATCCAAAAATGGTACAATTATATACAATACACATACGAAAAAAAAATTAATTTATTCTAGAAAAACATCGTAGTGTAAAACTTATAATCTAAAGAGAATTAAATTCAATATAAATATATAAAAAAAAATGCTTTTTACATATGTATGTGCGTATAAAAAAAAGATATTACTGCACAAAATCATGTAATTCAAACGCGTCTATCTCGATCATAGAACATAGATTCGTTTTTCCGTACGCAATATACGTAAATACCAACGGTCCATTTCCGAAAAGAAAGTTCGTCAATGATGTCTAGTAAAATGATCATTCATTGGCGATTGGTCATTCACTGATGCGCTTTAACCTAAACACCGGATAAATACTGGTAGCGCGCAATCGCGCGACATGCGCCATCGCAACTGGGTCATCGGCGAGAGCACGAGCGTCTGAAAATCCATTTCTGGCTTCGCCGAGAGAGAGAGTCCGTCTATCCAGGTCAGGCGAGCAGGATCGTCGTCGGCTGTGTCTGGCCGCGCGCCGCCGTTCGCTGCTGCTCTTCGTCTATTATCGAATCGTCGCGTCCAACCTGAACGATGGGTTGGACCACGTTGCGTACGCGAATCGTTAGTATTTTTTTCCCCTTTTTTGGAGAATTATTTTATATTTTTTGCGCGCGCGTTAGATCGCGAAAGCGAGGGTGCCGCATGATCCAGTGGACTCGCTCGACGAGCACACCACGAACAAAATCGCCCTCATTGAAAAGTGCTTCACAGTGATACTCTGTGATATCTATGCTTAATAAGAATATGTTTTATAATGATCACTGCATCATTTTTTATTACGTTTTGGATGAACAATCATTTTTGCGAGGTTCTAAAGTGAATAAATATATGTACACACAGACATTTTTGTTCTCATACCACATCAATAAAGAAAATATTAAATAGAGAAGATATTAGAAAATATATATTTAATATACTACATATTTTTTATGTTGTAATATATTTAATATGTGTGTGTGTGTGTGTATCAAAAATAATATTTAAAAAATTTATTATAACATATTTAATATTTAATTTATATATAACAAAGAACATGTAAATTTGAATGTGAGAATTATGAAATGGATAAGAAGTTATTCATTGTGAAATCGAGCACAAAGAGAGTAATGTGCGCCCGCGAACAATGGCCAAGTACTGAATGGCTATAGGGATCAATGAAAATTGACATGCATGCAGTGTCAATAAATATATTTACATAGTTGAAAATAAACCAACCGTAGTTATATCTACGTGAAAACATTTTCCATCAGAGTGATGTATCGACGAATCCGTTTTCAGGGTAACGCGTTGCCAAGCGCATAACAATGCGATAGAAGTAAAACTTTCGTAGTCGACTCTTAATCGCAGGATAGCAAGAGCTATTGTTCGGGTTAAGATTCATATTTAGCAATTATCAGTAACCGTTTTCATTCATCTAGATTTATGAAAATATCGGGATTTGAACTGAACTCCACGTTTATTAAATTAATATGATCTTACTAACAATAAGTTAAGCGCGACGATTATTATATATCCATAAGATGACATGTGTCACTTATAATAATAGAAGGAGATTCGTTGATATGTGATATCACGTGGATGTAGATTAAACTCATACTAAGAGAGTCACGCGTCTGTTGCATTCGCTCCTTAATCATTCACAGCGATATGTAAATACACGAATTGATACACGAAGAAGTATATAATTATACAGTTACCGTTTCAATTTTAATACAACGACAATGGACTCTTCTTTCGTTCACAAGAGAGAGCACATAAATTTATGCAAGATATTCCAGATCGTTTTTATTATCAAACAGATTCTCGTTGATCAATATCGTCCACTTTTCCTTACTAAAAATTTCACGCGTAGTGACTTCTTATTTCTATATAATAATCCTGTAATTTTTTCAACATTAATTACTTTGATAATTAAGTCTCAAAGCAAAGTTTAATTAAACTAAATTATAAATAAAAATTGAGACATTTTATAAATGTATGTTTGCACTTCTAAAGCCCCTTAATTTATAAATCTTGTTTTTCCAAACTTTAATTATTCGAGATTGTGCTATCGATTTTACGATTATGTGTTTAAAAAACAAGATCTTTCGATATTAGAACTTTAAAATATTCTTCATTTCATGAAGAAAAAAAAAACCAAATAAAGTTTGTTTTTTTATATTATTTGTAATATTGTTATAATATATAATTTTTAAATTAGATTTTAAATCAAATCTTATATAAAGAGTTTTATATATAAATTTCCTATGAATTTTACAGAAGGAACTTTTTGGGGGTGGGGAGGCCAGTCAACCGGATGGGCTGGCCAGTCGGAAAATGTCAAACGGCTCGACCGGAAGTCCCAAGCTCAAATGGCTGAAGGCTTTCAAAAGCCTAAAAACCAGCTCGCCTACGACGCCGCCTCTGTCAGACAAGTGAGCTACTTAATTTCCTTTCGCCTAGTACAACCAATTTCCACCACGTGCATGTCGCGAAAAGACGTCGACGAAGTTTCCGACGCGACGGAGATGATTTTTCGCACCGAACGACACCGGGAACTACACGTATATGTTTGCTATCTCTACTCGTATATTTCCTCAATACGACTCTCGGAAACAAAAGAGAAATATTTTGCTTTTCGTAGTAATCTGGCGTTTATTGTCCGCTCCTCGTGTTTTATCTCTCTAAATTTTATTTCGTGTTAATCAGTAGAAAATAGTGCAGCGCGTACATCTGTGGGATGCGCAAATTCAAATTCGCGAGAAAATATCGGAAATATATAAAGACAATGCTGTCGTATAATTCGAAAATATTTCCATCAAATGTTATAACGAAAAATGGCATACCTTAATTTTCTTTCTCTTTATTTTTCGCACAGTATAAATATATATATAAAAATTATCTTGCGAATCCTACGTTACACGTCTGCATGAACGAGTAAAATAACGAATGTTCATTCAAAATTGCTTTATCATACCACACCACGTAGATAGAAATCTAATATTTATCTTTGACGTTATATTCTCTCTCTCTCATTATTTTAATAGAGAATTAGAATATCTCGCAAATTTTTAGAATATTAAAATAGAAGAGTGTGTGTGTGTAGTCATCGTAGTAATTTTTTTTCAATATCGATGTACTAATTAAATTTAAATGCGAAAGTTTTGCAAGAAAAAATTGGATTTGGATCTCGCAAACAAGAAGGTTATTTGTTGTCGCTGTCATCTGACAACAAATGAAACAAACAGGCATAACAAGCAAACAAAGTTTTTTCTCGCTGCATCTTCGCATATCTATAGAACAATGTTGTCAAAGTTAATTCTCTCGAAACGAGAAACGCTCAAGTTAAATATATGCTCTTACTTCCGTGTGCTTTGTAAGTTTCCCAATTAAGGGAACCATAGGCGTTAGACGAAAGGAATTTTAAATAACCGTAGATACTGTTTTGCGAATGCTCGACTAATAAAGAGGAAAGCAGGCGACCATGTACCACGCAGTTTCTACCGTCGTCGCCATGTCCAGGTAAATTTTCAGATTGTCGTGTGAACGTCAATTGACATTTGCATTTCTTCTTCTTAATGTGCTTCTAATCGAGTTTTTTTTTTTCACGCGAGAAAGAGAGATAAATATTATTAAAAATATTTTCGCGTTTATGCCAACTTTTTAATACTTAATAATTCAAACGATTTATTTACTAACGTTCCTTATTGATATTGTCGTATTGATAGAATGTGTAATTCTTTATGAAAGAAAAAATCGAACATATAGAGAATAAAATTTTTTCATGTTAAAAATTATTGACTTTGAAAAATATGCGTTTATTAATATTCCAATTTTCAAAGTCACTTTTCTCGAACACAAAATTCCGTATGAAAAAAACTTTATTTAACTTTTAATTCTTCATAAGAAATTTCTCAATTGTATTACGATTACTAGCCTCCTCTCCTCCCCCCACCCCCTCTGTATGTCTAATTAAAAAAAATACATCATATATAATTTTAATCTTTGATTAATATCATTTTAATGTCACTTTCGAGCGATTCTTTAACTCTTGGATAAATGTATGCATCGCGTTTAATTTATGCTGTTTCAATATTATTCTAACAGCACGTAATTAAAGGTAACAATAATACTAATAACGCGAACGCGTGCGCATGCACATGTCGAGATTCGCAAGGTCAAAGTGAACATGAGAGATTACGGTTTCGCAGGAAAAGCCTCGAGTCCGAGGGCGGACACACGTGGCGCGAGTACACATACCGCAAGATCACGCCGTGTGACGCGTGCGGCCAGGTGCTGCGCGGTCACAGCCGCCAGGGCGTTCGGTGTCGAGGCTGCAAGGCCAACGCGCATACGGATTGCATCAACATGGTACAACCGACAATGTGTCCAAGCCTGGCGCCCAAGAAGAGCGGCGGGATACCGCTTCTGCGTCGACAAAAGACGCAAGTACCCGCTGACGAGATGCCGGCATCGTCCGAGCACAGTGAGTACATATTTTAAATACTTGAAAGAATAGGTAGAGAGATAGATAGATATAGATAGATAGATAGATAGATAGATAGAGAGAGAGAGAGAGAGAGAGATCCGGCGCGTTTTTATCTTATTTTTTTCCTCTCTTCGTCCTCCTGCGACGAGACAATTCTCTCATTGTCGAGAACGTTTTATCGAATATTTCAAACGAAAAGAATCGGCCAATTCTCCGATAATTTTATTATCTCATTGAATGAAGATTTTTCCTTTTTTCCTGTTCCACGGAAAAACAGATTTTCTTTCATGCGTGATGCGTTGTTAAAAATTCGTTAAAAAATATACGCCACAAAACGCGACAGGACTTTGTTCGCAGTTTCTCTTTGTCGTATTTCGCATGTAACAATGGCGAGTATGAATGGATTCAGAAAAGTAAAGGATAGAAATTGGAAATACAAAAATTATTAATGAACTAACTGCTTCTTTATATCTGGGAAAATTATTCATTGAATAATACAAAGTGAGAAAGAAAGAGTATGTATATATATCAATTAATTTTTAATTCTTTTAATTTAAAAGAAAAAGACTTTAGTTCTTTCGAGTCACTCTACAATTCCATTCATTTGCCGATATCGTGTAACTGTCGCGAATTGAAAAAGTAGTGAGAAAATAAAAGGTCATTTATCACGTATATTGAACTGGATACACACATATATAACATTACATATTTCTTATTACAAACAGAAATTTATTCTTTTTTTTTTTTTTTAAATTAAAGTGGATTAAATTCAATATTACGGTAATTAAAAGCTTAATATTCAGATTTCGTTAAAACTATTTAAATTATTTCGAAGATATGAGATTCACATATTATATCTCTCTCGTGAAACATCTCTCTCAGCACTACGATTTAATCCGCGAGAATTACTCGATACCATTGCCGCTATATCGTTCTTCGTGCGCCACATCTTATCATTTATATCAAACGCACACAAAACAAAAAAAGGGAAGAAGAAGACAGATCAATGTAAGCAAACTAAGCACTGATTGAGGGCGCGAATCGTAAAACCACAAACAGACGTGTCGGTGTGCTTTTTTGCATTGCTGTGTCTCTTTATCCCGTGTGGGCAGACGTGGACGCCATATACCAGGTGCTGAAGCAAGCAGGCGAGATCCGTGGAAACTCGACAAACTCACCACCTACGCCTCCCACAGCAGAACATCTCCCCTCCGGTGCAGCACCTTTGTCAGCGAGGGCTTCCTCCCATCCCTGTTCCTCGTCCACCTCTGGTAAGGCGCACCACCGAACAATTCCCACAGATCTTGGAACGTACGTCGGAATTTTCCCCAAAATTTTACCACGGACAGTGACGGATTATGTGTGCATAAGACGCTCTTATCCGGGACAACAAAACAAAGATCGAGTTTTACTTCTCAGAGTTTATCATTCATCTCTAATAAATTTTAATAATATTAAATTATTAAAATTATTATTATTATTATATTAATAAAAAGTTCTTTTCTCTTGGTCTAAGAATTTTCAATAAGAATTCTAGATACAGCGTCTCTTGCACTCTAAATAATTTAATTCCGCCACTAAGAAAACATTCATAAATTCGATTCAAAACTACATCTCAACTTTAACAATGGATAATGTTGTAAAACGAAATATGTACATCGAAATTATTGGAGCATACCGACATAGTACTGGAGTGAACATGTTTCTGAATGTACCTTACCTTTTTCATTCAGTTTAAGTTTGATGTACCAATATTTAATCAAATATTTTCATATTTATTTTTTACTGTCCCGTAATTTTGTAAATTCAATTCCTGTTATCGAAACGGGTAACTCTTTCCTTTTTTGCTTTTATTTTTATTAACGTACCGTAATTACTATTATATATATTAGTATTTAGAAAGAGAAGAAAATAGGAATATTAATTTAATGACTATCGTATTTACGAGATCATTATTTTTTTAATTTTAGATACTTTCTAGTAAATAGAAATAAGAATTACATAAATCATTAAATGTACATTTAGAACTTTTATATTTAAAGAGTTGTATTTTTCAATGTCTCAAAAACTTGCTGTCTTTATTGTAATTCTATTTCATATTTCTATCTTCTCAGCTAGTTAAATTATTGCTATGTAATTGTATGTGTTATTTTTTTAAGCACGTATATATTGTGCGTGGTTGTTATGTCGCTCGTGCTCCAGTACTGTCAGTTCCAAGGTCCGAGATCACTCTATATGTTTGTGTAAAATCGCTCGTCTTCTTCAGGGACATGACTCGTAAATTCGTAATCTATCGATTCTTTAATGTGTATTCTTTTCTTCTTCTTCTTCTCCTTCTTCCACGCTTATATCTTTTCTTCTTTTTTCTATTGCTTTTTTCTTCTACCATATATATCTATATATTCTGCTTGTTATTACGATTAATTCGACCGATTTTTAGAGGTAAGTCGCTGATTATTATCGTTATTATTGATATTATTCAATATTCTGTTACACTACTTAAAATTATCTGTAGCGTTACATTTGTCACGATTCTCGCATCCACGACGATAAATTCCACCCATTTAATCGTATATATTCGATTTTATATTTATCTCTTTTCTTTTTTGTTATTTCAATAACGATTTTTACAAAATGATAAATTATACGTAAAAATATTTTATATATTTATATTTATNNATGTGTAAATATATATTGTTAAATCTTCAAAATATGAGAGACGCATCGCTAATGTCATTGCATATAAAATTACACTGTAAATACAAAAATTTATTGAACAAATGAAAACAACAGCTTGTCTTCAGTTTATCTCCACTTTGTTATATAAGCAACAATATAAACTATGTACTTTGCTATCTTGTTACGAGTGTACTAGATTTTCTGAAGGAGCTCTTGTCGCGAGCTTCTCTCGACTGAGAATCAGGTCTCTCGTCGATAAGTCGAACAAATCGATTTTTTTTAGGCTGGCACATTTGTCGTCGTGGGTGTCATTCCTCGACGACGAAAGAAACTTTATCGCTTCTCACCCTCTTGACTTTTATCGCGCATATCACGGACGCTTATCAAGTTTTCCACTCCAAATCACCCTCTATTAGCTTTCTCTCATATATTCGAGTATCTACTATAAATATCTACCATAATAATAATAATCATCATAAAATCATAATAAAATAATTATCATCATCATCATGTTGATACTGATGATTGATATTTTAATAATTATTATATAATAATTAAAAAATATTAACTGTAATAATAAGTAAACATTAATAACAATATCAGTAATAGTTATAATAAAAACAGATTATAATAAAATATAACTATTATTATTCTTAATTATTTTTAAGACTTTCTCTTTTTTCGTTATTTGATCATTTATTGTAATTATTAATTTTGTCTCCTTCTTTTTTTTGTTTATAATTACAATTTTTATATAACGATACATACTCTTGTATACTTGATGTTATATCTCGCAAAGCGAAATTACCGTATCGTAATAAGAATAATCCTACATATATGCACAATGAGAAAGGACAACAAGGAGCGAATAACGAAAAAAAAATATCGTCGACTAACCCCAAAGGATGGTAATATCAGGATTTTCAGCCTATGCATAATTATATCTTCTAAAATAATAGCAATATTAATAAAATACTGCGAATATTTTGGATGTACGAGAAGCATCTAAAAATATTTATTAAATATTCGTATTTTGTATAGAATAATAATTTCAATCTATTATAATTTCATCATTACCTGTTTCGTGGTACTCTCGAGGAGAGAGAGACATATTTCGCGTTCGTTAATTAATAGAGACTAATGGACGGCCAAGAAAACAATGGACAGATGCAATAAATGTGAGCATCGACTCTTCGTCGAGTATATCCGACTGAATATATATAGGTAGATATTCTATGAAGGTGGATATTCTATATGTTGAGAGAAAAAAACGTTTCCCGCGTGAATCGATCAAACACGGACGTACCACGATCATTAAAAATTCATTTCCGCGGAAATAATTAGTTAACCGCATGAGGAAGAAGAGGAAAAGTACATGGAAGAAATGTACTCGGATTACACAAACGCACAAAATTTTATATAGGATCATGCAGGATCGCGAGAACAGAGGACAAAGACGCCTTACGCAAGTATACGTTTTCGATTCTCGAATCGATTCGCTTGTAACATCACGGAATGTGTTCGTCTATTTATTTATCATTATCCTTCGCATTTTCAACGTTGCCGACTTTTGCAACGACCCATCATAATTAGGATTGTTTATTCATCGAGCAATTAATATCGTTTCAAGAAAGTGTCGTTTCCAATATTTCATACGATATCGTAAAATATAATTCGAATAGAAATTTTAATATGACACGTATTGAGGACAAAACAATATATTTATCCAAAGAAATATTTAGAAAGTTTACCAAATTTCTGTTTATTTCATTATTATTTTCATTATTATTTATTATTTTATTAATTATTAATTATTATTTCAGAAAAACACATCAATATAATTGAAGAAAAAATAAAAATAAATAAAAATAAAAATAAAAATTTCTTTTCCTTGACATAAATAATCTATAAATTTTAAGTGTATATACAACTTGAAAAATAAATTAAAAAAGAAAGAGAATTTCATTTTTAATTAAATATTTTTCAGAGACGCGTCCCCCCCCCGATATCGTAAAATATAATTCGAATAGAAATTTTAATATGACACGTATTGAGGACAAAACAATATATTTATCCAAAGAAATATTTAGAAAGTTTACCAAATTTCTGTTTATTTCATTATTATTTTCATTATTATTTATTATTTTATTAATTATTAATTATTATTTCAGAAAAACACATCAATATAATTGAAGAAAAAATAAAAATAAATAAAAATAAAAATAAAAATTTCTTTTCCTTGACATAAATAGACTTTATTAAGTATCGAATCGTGGAAATAGATTTATTGCTCAAGCGAGAAAAAAAAACGATCGCACTTTGTGGTTCGTTGCACGTAGTATGTAAATATAACCAGCGGAACACAATTTACGCTTTGTTATCGATTTAAATCGATATAACACGGTCACTATCGATTGTACACCGTTGTGATAGCGAACGAGGCTATTTTATCGGTTCTCCTCTTTATTGTCGCGAACAGGATTTGTTTCATTCATTTCAGCTTTCAGTACACGACTGTTGGTCGTTCGCCGCGTTTTCCTTTCTTTATTTCTGTTTGCGAAGCGTGCAATGCAATTCGAAAATAATCTTAGAATGAACAGACGTACAGTTTCTTCGTATAAAACGTGCTATAAAATTCGAGCGATACATTTCTATGGGCAGTAGAACGATGAAGATAACCATTTCTATTTAACAATAAAGCTTAGAGAAGCGCCTTTGCATCGACAATAGCCTTTAGGCTAAATTTGTGAAAAATGTTTACTTTTATCGTTGCAGAGAGGCTATCAATTGAACTTTTTTTTGCCCGTATCAAAATTTTATTTATTATAGTTTGTTATCGTACAATATAATTTATACTGTCGAAACACCTGATTAGAAGAAGAAGATTAAAAATATCTGATATATACGGTTTGAAATAATGCGGGTCAAGTGGCTTATATTATCCCTCAGCTATCGTCTTCTTACACACATATACATTGAAAATGTTATCTATCAGCTTTTTCCGACGAAAACATGTAAATATTGTAAATAAAAATATTCTTTTCCGCAATATTACAAAACTTTTCATATTTTTACGCGAGTCGTGTCCCGTTGTAATTATGCTGTTTGTGCGCTTTTTATCTCAGTGTATATAAATTTTTTTTAATAATTCGTATATTTGTAAATAATCGATTGTTCCGCTTATTTATGTATAGTCGATACTTCAATATATTCGACGCTGATGCCGATTACATATCTCTTTTTATAGATAGATATGTCACAATTTGTAGAATTTTATTTAAGCAAATGGAATTATCTATCACTTGACTAATTGCAAAAGCTTAATTAACCATAATCATTGCTTTATTTTTGTTGTTCTTCCAACTCTCGATACAAATTAAGTGTATCTCATCTGGGAATTATATTTAAAAAGATTCTGTATAAAAAAAAGGGATCAAAATTAAATGAAGATTTACATCATTAATTCACAAAACTCATTAATTTTTATTTGCTCTCATTTGAAACTGTGTGTGATTGACATCTCGATATTCTGTTAAAAAAGGTTTTCATCTAATTTCATACTTTGTAAAAAAACTTACAATCTTACATCTTTAATTATTGTAAAAAGCATGTCAAATATTTTATATTTTTACATTTTTTCAAAGAGTATTTTTATATCATCGTGTTTTCATTAATAAATTTTGCAATTATTCGATGTCAGCGTCGAAGTGCAACTCTTTTATCATGGCTAACAAATTTCTAACCGATTATTACGAAAAACCAAGCACCGCATAGTCCGCAACGTAGACGCGAGAGGCTGAATTTAAGGATGAAGAGCCTCAGCTTGGATTCACCGGAAGGGACTGCGCACGTTCGGCATCGCCCACGAGATTACTACCATGCTACTAGTGCGAGAGAGACCACCCCACCCCGACATTCTGACAGCGGCAGTATCAACAGGCTGTGTAAGTAAACCACAGATCTCACACGCAATAAATTAACGTAGTATTAGGTCGTTGCATATAAAATGGCCAATTTGCATAGCTCTTTAATTATAAAACTGTATGAGTGTAAGAGAGCATTTAGTTATACATTATATTTAGCTTAAAGTTTTCTTTCAAAGCTTGTTTGTAAAATAAAAAAATAAGTGTGATTTGATACTCGATTATTCCAAGATATACATCGATTTCTTTGCAAAACTATGTTTATATTTTAATTTGTGTTTATAAAAAAAAACTGTTTACATTTTGAAATTAGATTTTTAAGGCATAACGGAATTCATAAAATGCAAAATTATTATAAAATTAATATAATGTTGTTTTATAATTTATAAATTGGTGAGCGAGTGCAATTCACATAATATAAATCTGACATATAAAAACAGTCATATTTTAATATCGAAATGATAAATTTCAGTATGTGAAATCCGAGATACAAAAATGCGAATGAATATTCGATACGCAACTTTCTTTTCTTCTTTAAAAATTCTGAATGGAATTTATCTCTGCTCATTTCCTTGAAAGATTTAGATCGACATTAATTAAATAAAAATAAAACTTTCCCCCTGAGATCGCCCGAAGATAATGGCCATTTTACATGTAGCAAGCTATGAATGAATCTTTGGACTATACAAGCTGCATGAATTTCGCGGATTTATTATTAGATATATATATATAAAATATTATATATTTTTTACAGCGCCCTGCAGCCCGGGCCAGACACACGGCGTACACAAGCACGTGCGAAGTGCTATTCGGATGTCGAGTATGGAGCTGCCGGACGAGAACGAAAAATCATACTCGTCGGCGAGTACGTCACCGTGCCCCTCCCCCCACACCAACAATCAAAATCACCTAAATCCACCCGGTGGTAAACGTGTACTACCACCGAACAATCTTTACGTCGTGCTATACAACTTCGAGGCACGACATCCGGATGAGCTAGATCTTAAGTAAGTAATCACCTTGAGTAGCACAGAAACCCCGAGGTTTCCCAAATTTTCGCTTGTATAAATTTTCATAATAATAAATTATGAACACTTTTGTCTAAAAAAAAATATATATTGAGACACTTCAAAAATAATGTCTTCATCTTTTTTTAAAATTATTCATTATTTTATTTAAATTAATTTTAATGAAAAGAGAATAGTTTATTTTAAATATTTAAACAAATTTGCAAGATATTAAATAAATATATAATTTTAATAGTAATTCTATTTAATTTAATTTTAATTTAATAATTGTAATTTCCATCGCTTGTAAATTTTTTAAATTATTCTCTTTGTAAAAAAATAATAACGAAATATCAGTATTTTAATTTAAACATCATAATATTTATTCTGCACATAACTTATAACAATATCTTAAACATTTTTTTTTTTTTTTAAGTGTTCATAATTATTTTTGGCAGGACACGATTATGTTAACGCAACGACGATAAATATCGTGAATAAATGGACTTACATATTAGCTGATGTTGCTCCGCAATATAATACGCCACTGCTTGTGTTGTTTTCTGCTCCATTGCTCCTTTCCGTTTCTTTGCTCTTTCTTACTCCTTTCTTGCTTCAAGTGTTCATACAGATAGATATGATAATCACCGCACTATTATTTATTATTTTTAACGATCGCCCGTTATATTTTACATGCGACATTCCCGATCACGATACACTCGCGCAATTTTTTATACAACGCATTTTAATTCGCCAGATCGAAAAATATTATAAAATACACGACGTTAAATCATCGACACTCTCGAAAACTGTACCGTTCGAAGAAGCAAACAACGCGAAATATGCAAATTAGTGAACAAATATATAGGCTAGGATTTCGACGCGACGCACTATCGACGCATCGATCGCGAAATCGAGAGAATGCGCTCGATCACGCATTTTCAGATTAATTACCATTCCGAAATAATCGCCCGTCACTTAATTCGACACTCCCGACACTTGTTCGCGCGCAAAATATTCTTTTCCGCGAATAAAGAACGCGAGAATCATGAAACGATCGCGATCGACATCCGAATGAACATAAGTACGCGACGAAACTGCCGAATGTCCTCTCCTCTCTCCCCTTCCCCCACTCCTCATGCGAGCGCGTCCTTTTCTCACTCGAGCCCGAGGCCCGAGGTTTTTTTCATAAAAACAATAAAAATATTATTTGTAATACGTGTTTTGCCGCAACACAATAGCGATTTTTGAGATTTCGTTATTATCGCGAATACTTTCGAATATTCTTGACAGAGTAAAAATGTTTGAAATGTAACGAAATTTATTACAATAGTGATGTGCAACCAACTTCAAAATACGCTACTTTCGCCACGTACAAAATACGCGGATTTGAGAATTTAAATATTGAGAACGCGCTCAATCGTATATTTCCAGACTAATTAGCATCTCGAGACGATCACCCGTTATTTTATTCGACACTCCCGACACGCGAAATATTCTTTTCCGCGAATGAAGGACGCGAGAATCGTGAAACGATCGCGATCCACATCCGAATAGACACAAGTATACGACGAAACTGCCGAATGTCCTCTCCTCTCTCCCCTTTCCCCCACTCCTCATGCGAGCGCGTCCTTTTCTCACTCGAGCCCGAGGCCCGAGGTTTTTTTCATAAAAACAATAAAAATATTATTTGTAATACGTGTTTTGCCGCAACACAATAGCGATTTTTGAGATTTCGTTATTATCGCGAATACTTTCGAATATTCTTGACAGAGTAAAAATGTTTGAAATGTAACGAAATTTATTACAATAGTGATGTGCAACCAACTTCAAAATACGCTACTTTCACCACGTACAAAATACGCGGATTTGAGAATTTGAATATTGAGAACGCGCTCAATCGCATATTTCCAAACTAATTAGCATCTCGAGACGATCGCCTGTCATTTCATTTGACACTCCTGATACGCGAAATATTCTTTTCCGCGAATGAAGGACGCGAGAATCGTGAAACGATCGCGATCCACATCCGAATAGACACAAGTATACGACGAAACTGCCGAATGTCCTCTCCTCTCTCCCCTTCCCCCACTCATCATGCGAGCGCGTCCTTTTCTCGCTCGAGCCCGAGGCCCGAGGTTTTTTTCATAAAAACAATAAAAATATTATTTGTAATACGTGTTTTGCCGCAACACAATAGCGATTTTTGAGATTTCGTTATTATCGCGAATACTTTCGAATATTCTTGACAGAGTAAAAATGTTTGAAATGTAACGAAATTTATTACAATAGTGATGTGCAACCAACTTCAAAATACGCTACTTTCACCACGTACAAAATACGCGGATTTGAGAATTTGAATATTGAGAACGCGCTCAATCGCATATTTCCAAACTAATTAGCATCTCGAGACGATCGCCCGTCATTTCATTCGACACTCGCGACACGCGAAATATTCTTTTCCGCGAATAAAGGACGCGAGAATCGTGAAACGATCGCGATCGACATCCGAATAGACAAAAGTACGCGGTGCAACTGCCGAATGTCCTCTCCCCACCCTCCACATCTTCTCATTCGAGCCCGAGTTCTTTCCAGGAAAGCGTTAAGAATATTCTTCATAATAAACGTGTTGTCACAATCTACAGCGATTGTTTTGAGATTTCCTACCTTATTCTCGCGAAAGCTTCCGAATATTCTTAACAGAGTAAGAATGTTCGAAATGTAACGAAATCACCACGCCATATTTTACATGAAATTAGTAATGATGCGCTACCAACTTCAAAATATCGCTACTTTCATCGCGTGCGAAATACGCGGATTAGCCCTGTTCTACAATAAGTCGTATGTCGTTAGTCGCAAGCAAATTGACCAATCACAGTCGAATATTCTCGGAATAATCGACTGTCGTTGGTCAATTTGCTAACGACTAATAATATATGACTTATTATAGAATGAGCTTTAATGAACGAATAAAGACTCGAAATTCATCGATCCGACGTGAGATGATATATGCATCGATTGCGAAATCAAGAGAACGCATTCAATCGTATATTTCGCGAGAATAAGGTAAGAAATCTCAAAACGATCGTTGGAAGGTTGTGGCGATACGCGTATTACGAAGAATATTCTTCTTATCGCTTTCCTGGAAAAAACTCGGGCTCGAGCGTAGACGCGTGGAGGACGGAGGGTGGGGAGAGGACATTTGCACCGCGATGTGGATCGCGATCGTTTCATGATTCTCGTGTCTTTTATTCGCGGAAAAGAGAATATTTTACGTACGAACAAGTGTCGGGAATGTCAGATTAAGTGACGGGCGATCGTTTCGAGATGCTACTGTATGAATTTTCTATGAATATATGTATGATTGAGAACACTTGGTAATTATATGTTTTATTTGTGCGATACGTGTATATATTTGTATACATATAAATTGATTTAAGAACGCGTTATTCTTGTAATTATAGGGCCGGTTACAAGATTACCGTGATTGATAAATCAGAGAAAGACTGGTGGAAAGGGAAATGTCTTGGTGGCCGTGCCGGTTATTTCCCAAGTGCGTATGTTATGCGTGTTGAATCCGGTCAAAGAACTCTTCAAGTTACACGCAATCTGCAGCTGGCTGATCAAACTACTCTGCTGCGAGATCAGGTATATTTGTGATTTTAACTAAATTCCGCATACGCTACAATTTATCTTTATTTATTTGCATTTTTACTTTATATTTTTCTAATTTTTATTACAAGAACATTTATATTCATATCTTTCTATCAAGTTCTTTTATTTCTAAATGTCTAAAAAATATAATTCATAAATATTTAATTCTCTTCTATTCTATCACATCGTATAGATTGTGATTCAAGTGGGCGAAGAGATGGATGGAGTGGCAATGGTGAGATGCGCAGCGGACGTACGTTCTGCCGATCACACGGGCAAAGAGGGTGACGTGCTTTACAAGGAGATCCTCTGTCCCCTCAAGTATCTGCAAGAGGTGTGACAGCAGCCTTACCATCTTCATCAGAAGACGCGTAATGGTGGTAGCGCGATCGCGACGAGCAACGAGCGTCGTCGATGCGCCGACCTGCGAGATCGTTTCTCGACGTCGCGCCGTCACGTCGCCGAAAAGTATTACGATTGTCTGCAGTGCACGGAGCAGTGTCGTCACGCAACCGACAACAATAATCCTCCCAATAACAGCGGCAACAACTACAATAATAATAATGACAATGGCGCTGTCGCCATCGCCCGGATTCGCAGCAATCATCGTCTGCCCGTTTCGAATTTGGCGTTGTATCCCGATGTATCAACATCTCCGCCCGATGAAATGAGAAAGATTCGAGGCGCCAGAGATAATCTCGCCAGAGCAAAATCTCTGGCGAGACATCAATCCACTCATCTAACGCCGGTCAAGAAGAGATCGTCGCTGGCGCGACCAGTTCGCGTCCATGATTCCTTTGTGCAACTCAGACGACCGATGGCCGAGGAAGATCCTTGTCACGACTCGCAGCGAGAGCAGCAGACGAGATCGTGCAAGAACCCTTGGTGGTGGCAGGAGCGCTGCGAGCGTCAGGAGCCTAACGCGTCGACGAGTTATGCCTATCATCGGGGCGAAAATGTCGAGGACGGAAGCGCCGGTTGGCCTATTCGCCTGCGACTCGAGCAGATGTTGGAGCTGACGTTGCCGCAGACTAAACGGAAAAAGAAGAAGAAGAAAAAGAAAAAGGCGACAACGGCGACGGCGACGATGCTGCTAATGAAACAGCAGCAGCGTGGCAGACACAGCTGCAAAGATACCGAAAGGCTCCTCAAGGTACTCAGCATCAACAATGTGGACCAAGATAATAGGTACAACGTCAAACGATGTTCCGTCATGTAGAGATTAGAGTAAAAAGAAGAAAAAGCGTGTAACAGACTTCTTAGGAAACACCGTAGGACTCCGATACGCTCGTATCTGCAACTCCGCTTTCTGCGAAAATCGAGGCTTCGAATCTACTTATGTATTGTACTTCTGCCGTGTAATAATAATTCTCGGTAAGTTTTATTTTTTCTATGATTTAAATTTTATTTTTTACAAAATGTGAGAAAATGGGAAGTATGGTAGAAAACATTCTCTTCGTGCATTTAATCTTTTGTCTTTATATGTGAAAGTTGTTCAAAAAATCGTCTTATTAATATTCAAATTATTTCAATTTGTACGCACTAAATTATTTTTATAATAGCATCTATATGTATATATGAGTGAGATAAGAGCATTTTTTCTTGTAATGGTTTATAAAGTTTAGAGATTTATCTATCTCTTCATTTTTAATAATTATATATATTTTAATGAATCTCGTATCACATCTTTAATATCATTATAAACGAGAATTCGAAATGCCATTTTTCGATAACCATCGACCTCGATAACGCACAGAGCACTTTTTAGAAACAGAAATCGTTTCGTTTCCGTTTCATTCTTCCCAGCCTTCTTCTCAATTTAGAGATAGAGATCATCTTCTCCTAGTTATGTATCCGATCTACTATTCCGACATTTCGAAACACAATATCCCCCTTATTGCTTTGATCGGACGTTTTTACTTTTATAAGACGAAGTGGTCAATGTCACGATTCATTAAAAAAGAAAAAAATGATTCTAACGATGTTTAAAAAATCACTATTGTTCATTATATTACCATGTTGCATTTCGGTGTGAAGAGTACCGCATCGTCGTTTCGTTTAAATCGAGTGCACTTTATGCAAATATATTATACGTATATATTCGCGCGGAGCTAATTAATCATTCGTATCCGCGCAAAAAGCGAACCAAAAAAATATATGTTAGAGAAAGGAGAAAGTATAAACAGCCAATTTCATTCCACTAAACTGCCTGGGATCATCGCGGACGCTAAATCGCGAGCTCCTTCCAAGTTTTGCGACAGCACCTTTCTCCGAATTATTTTTTATATCGAGAAATTAAACCGACACTCCTCTATATTATTCTTGTCGGGCGTGAAAGTTATTTACAACGGCTTTTGCGAATCGTCCATTCGCGATCGGAGGGACAGATGGATGAAGGATGTATATCACATTTGTGATATCCGAAAGTGATAGTTTGAAGAAAATTTTAAATATAGAAATTATCTCTTATTGACCCGGTTATATGGATAATTTATTTTCTAAAAGTTTTCTAAAAATTTCTTTCGCTAACTTATCGTTCATTTTAAAGTCATTAGTTTTTAGTTTAATCAATTATAACATCCCTGTAATCTAATTACGCGCACGTAATTAAATCATCCATTTATGAACTAACTTTAGCTGATATCATCGTATTATTAAATTGATAGCATGTATACGATAGTATGTACTGGAGCAGATATAATACTTTACGTTTATAAGAATTAGTAGAGAATTTTGTGAGAATGTAATATATTTCCTTCGTTCGCTTAGCTCTTCGAGTTGTCTCTTTAACAACAATTATCCAGAGAAGAGCAGCGAGTACCTACCTGTAACGGATGTACACGCGTAATCCAAGTGCCATATATAGTGTCGCGACAGCCGATTAATTAATGCCTATAAAAAACCTAAGCATTTGAATGAACGTTCCAGTATTAAATATATGACGAACAAGGATGCGGGATTTGACATAATTTAACGATTCGGGATGCATCTCCCCCTCGTTGTATCGTAGATAAACCCACATGCATATAAGTATATAAAGCGATCCCCTGTCCGCGAATAAACGTCACGAGGAAGAAGAGATCGATTCGTATGAGTTCACTGCGCGTTAAAATCGTACGATTAATATCGTTGGATCGCGATAAAACTGAACGGTGTGTTGCTAATTTTGATCGAATCTATTCATATAAATTTGCAAAACAACGCGCTATCTTTCCGCCGATTAATCGCGTACGAGCTTGCGACTATTTGCATTAACTTTGTCGGTCTTAACACACGTGAACTTGCGAATCAAGATAATAGTAGATCTAGATTAATCGAACGGAACTAGACGAGAGAGAGAGAGAGAAGTATTGATTTTATAAGTATTGATTTTACGTATGTTACAGTATAATCTTATATTCTCACGAGTGTCCTTCTTTCGTTAATGTATCTCTTTCGCATTATTAACTTTGGCGTAGGGACATAAAACTGTTCCAGCTATTATCCTAGTATTTTGTAAGAGTATCGTCTATTTGCGAGTTTGAAAGAGACCGATTCAGGCGTTCAGCATGATCGAGATGCTCAATCGATGATAGAACGCGCGTCGAACAACATGCGACTAGTCAATCAGAATGTTAATTTATCACACGTTAATGAATCACACTGTGTATCTTTTTTCTTTTTCATCTCTTTAACTTTACCATGCCAATAGGAGAGAAACTTTGATTCGCGACCGGCGTGAGAATGGTTGCGAATTATTAACTGTATCCGGTGTGATGTAATCCGAGGAAGAAGAGATCGATTCGTATGAGTTCACTGCGCGTTAAAATCGTACGATTAATAGCGTTGGATCGCGATAAAACTGAGTACGGTGTGTTGCTAATTTTGATCGAATCTATTCATATAAATTTGCAAAACAACGCGCTATCTTTCCGCCGATTAATCGCGTACGAGCTTGCGACTATTTGCATTAACTTTGTCGGTCTTAACACACGTGAACTTGCGAATCAAGATAATAGTAGATCTAGATTAATCGAACGGAACTAGACGAGAGAGAGAGAGAGAAGTATTGATTTTATAAGTATTGATTTTACGTATGTTACAGTATAATCTTATATTCTCACGAGTGTCCTTCTTTCGTTAATGTATCTCTTTCGCATTATTAACTTTGGCGTAGGGACATAAAACTGTTCCAGCTATTATCCTAGTATTTTGTAAGAGTATCGTCTATTTGCGAGTTTGAAAGAGACCGATTCAGGCGTTCAGCATGATCGAGATGCTCAATCGATGATAGAACGCGCGTCGAACAACATGCGACTAGTCAATCAGAATGTTAATTTATCACACGTTAATGAATCACACTGTGTATCTTTTTTCTTTTTCATCTCTTTAACTTTACCATGCCAATAGGAGAGAAACTTTGATTCGCGACCGGCGTGAGAATGGTTGCGAATTATTAACTGTATCCGGTGTGATGTAATCCTCAATGTTGGATATGTTAACGAGTCTAGTCCATTTACAAGAGAACCTTTGCTATACACCCGTGCAAATGTATCGTTTGGCCGGAAAAATAGACTGCACGAAAAATATATTATCTATATAAATATATATATGTATCGTGTATATACGAATACCTTGGTACATGTGGTTTGCCTTTTCTTTTATTTATTCTTTTCAGAATAATATATCTCTATGAATTTTCTTTAAATCGTAAATTAATTAAAATAAATTGGCAAGATTCGCGTTTTATGAAAGCTCATCTTCAAAATCAGAGAATAATAATTAAGAAAAGACTTTTATAATTTTGTAAATGACAACTTTACAAATGACAGCTCTTCACAAATGATAACTACGTAGATTGAAGTTTTATTTGCATGATTACTTCATATTTCGAAAATACGTGCTTATCTCTCGAAAATAATTAGGAATGAGAAATAAACTTGAATAAACTTCTTGAATAATAGGAAAGCATCGCTATTTTTATTATCGTCGCGGATAATGTATATGGAACAGCATTACAATTCTCGTTAAAAAGTTTCTTTCTCAATCATTAAAAATCTCGATAGTTCACTCATCGGACGATGCATACAAATATAACTGCTGTTAACAAACAGCGGTTATCATTCAAAATATTTTCAAGACAAATGCAATTCTTTCAGTCGAATATAATATATAAATACTTTAAAATATTTTTAAATTTTGACATTTGTTTCGGCTGTCATCCGATCGATCTTCGTTCGATTCTACAATTTATATTTAGCTCCTCTGACAATGGGATACTTGTCGCCGGTGCAAACACCTCGGAAATCATCCAGGGACAGATCCACGATCGCTACACCGCCAAGCCCCTTGGATTTCACGAAGGCAGCCTTATTGCTGGCAGTGTCCGGATCCTCGTAACCGGCCCAGATTCCCTCTTCTCCGGTATCGGCGTTGTAAGACTTAAAAGCATAGCTGCCGTACTTCTTGGATGGATCGCCGACGCGTCGCAATTTTCCCGCCGCGTGTTCGGTCAGCCTGGCGCACATCTCGGCGTAGGAAAGCAAACCCGGTTCATTGGTGTGAGGTCCAGGAGCGCCCGGGCCATCGGTCACAATAGGCGGCACGCCGGAAATCTGGCTTTCGGCTGTCAATTTCCACGTGCGAGCGTAAGTGGGGATGCCGATGACGATCTTACTACCGGGGGTGCCGTTCTCTAACCAGTACCTGTAGAGTTACAGATTATTTTTATTAGAGAAAATCGAATATTCAATATTAAAAAATTAAATGAAATTAAGAAATAAGGGTTGTAGATTTGCTTAGCACAGACTACGCTTTATATAATTAAATTGTATTATGTGAAAATACGAAAAAATAACGTGGGAAAAAGATAGATAGGTTTACCTTGCCGCAGCATCAATATTGTCATCTCCCACGTATCCGTAACTGTCATAAATTATTTGTATTACACATGTTAAAATATATATTGTGAAGATACTTTGGGGATGTGCGTTATGAAGGAGAGAAGTAAATTTACCTTGCCGCGTTATCGACATTGTCATCCACCACGCGTCCGTAACTGCCGTAGATTGGTGCCGGGAAATCGGCCTCTTTGCCGCTGCGTTCCGGTGTCTTTTGATCAAAGGTGAAAAGATGCACGGCTTCGATATTGGGCGACAATAATCTGGCGTCGTAGTAGACTGTCAGAAAGGAATATATAATTATGTAATAAATATCCGGTGATACTAACAATAATTTTTTATCCACCAATTCTATTATTAATTTTAATATTATTTTAATCAGATTTGTGTTGCATGCATTGTGTTATACTAACCACTAGCGTTAACGTGTGGCAACACCGTGACAGTCAGGGACTTGAATCTCGACCTAAGTTGCGTCTTGAGGTCACGGACGAGGATGGTGAAACCATCACGATGCTCCTGCTCCTTCTCATCGTTGAACTTTCCATAGCCCAATTTCTTCTTGAGGCCGTGCCAAAAAGAGCCTAAAGTGCTGCGTTGCTTCTTGGGCCTGACTGGTGGAAACTGCCACGCCAGATCGATTCCATCAAAGTCATAGTCATTCAGCAGGCGATTAACGGAATTGATGAATTTCGATCTGCCTTCTGAAGTCTCGGTCTATCAAACCCAGGTAAATTTTTTTAATTATTCTATTTGTTTTTTATATATATATATAATTTTATTTGATTATTCTAATTTATTATTCCATTTTTAATTATTCTATTTTTATCCCAATTTTTAATTGCTTTAATTAAATATAAAATCAATAGAATAAATGGATTCTAGATATAAATGAAAATTGATATGTAGAATGACAACAAAATTGTACTCACTAATACGAGATATTTGTGTTCTTCGTCATAAGGATCGGAGTTTCCTCCAATACTCAGATAGACCTTTAGATCAGGAAACGATCGTTTCAGCTGCGTGGTGAGTTTGTAATAAGAGTAGCCCGATCCCGTATCTAGATTCGGCGAGCCAGGAACAACTTCAAAATCGGAATTGATGTGTGCGTATCCATAGATCAAGTGAGTGCAGAGAGACAAGGCTAATCTGACATCATCAAGTTGGAATTTTGCTGGACCTGTGAAGGTGACAACAATTTTGCGTATATTTCAAATCTCCGATAATAACAAATAATTAATTTATATGAAAATACTAAACAGAGGCGTGTAATATTATCTTTCGATTATGAGTCTCTACATGGAACGTGTATGTTGGATTTACGTTGTCATTTGCTTGACCTTAACACATTCGTCATAGCACAAGTGTGACAAAAACTAGTAAATACAAATCGAAGCTTCTACGTATAGTCGACGCGTTACCGGTTTTAGATATCTTGAGAGTATAGGAAAAATATCATATAACACAGAAAGAAAGATTTTAAAATATGATTACTTGAGAAAGATGTTTTTTAAAATTAAAATAACTCTTCGCGTTTTATATAATATAATTATCCTTTACGTCAATAATATTCTTAATTAAATTTGAATTTGTAAAAATTATGCTTGACATTTTTCTCGTGCCATAAGATTTGAAAAGAAATCAAAAAGCAGAAAATTTTATTGTGTTTTGGAATCGATATAAAAAACTATAATTTATGTTATCTATTTCTAAAATAGTATAATGGAAATTTTAATTTGATAACTTTCATACACACTATTTTTATATAACGTATTATTACCACAGATTTTTTCTACGAAGAAATTTCTCTCATGTTTATTTGTGACACGTTTGATAGCGAAATTCTCAACTTTCCAAAAAGCGATTCAAAACCGACAAGATTATAAACGTTCTTCCAATAGATTTCACGTGTAGCATGAATGTGAGTGATGCAAAAAAACTAGTAAAAAACGACCCACCTTGTCTTTCATAGGCAGTACTATTCCAATAGCAGACCACCTTGGAATGCTCATGAGGATCTACGCCGAGCACCGCCTGGATATACAGCACCGCGAAAACGGCTGAGAGTAACGTCTTCATCATCGTTATCTAGAATTATAACACGTAGTTAATTAATCGTCTTAACTCCGATCAATATTAAATTGACTTTACTGTGCGACGCGCCAATTAATAGGCTAATGTGTTCATTTCACTTTTTATAATTTTACCGAAAACAAACTAAAATATTTTAGCCACAGTAGCACTATTCATCACACCATCACAATTATAATTAAATAAAAAAAGTCAAACATAGAAAGTCGAACAATCTTTTAATATAAAGACGGTTAATATATTACAAAATTCTTTATTGTTTTATTATTTTTTTATTATTTTATGCTTTTAATTAAAATTGTATTATTTTTATTTTTAAATCTTTAGCTCAGTAATGAGTTATTTATAATATTTTGTTTCTATTTAAAGTTACATTGTATGTTTTCACAATTTAAGATTTATTTAATATTTGATGATTTCAAACGTTTTTCTTTCGTATCTTACCTTCGGTAACGAAAGGAGCGTACTGGTGCGTCGTTGCTTCTCGTCAGGGACTTTGAAACCTCGATCCCATCTTCGGTTTAAGTAGTGGGGCTTAGCTGATATTACGTCAGTCCCGTGATCGTTTGTCACATCGCCATATGTTGGTACATACATGTATGTATATGTATGTGTGGGTACGGTATATTACAGCACCGAGGTGCGTCGCGCGAGAATTCAGATGACAGTCAAAACTCACGCACACTAACAAAATAAGCGACCCAAGGTCGAAGGTTGCGAGAAAGTATGAAAGACGAACCGATATTATCCTATTACAAACGCGATCACGCTATCAATATTATTCATATTATTTGCAATTATTGCGTATTTTTAAATTAAGCGATAATCGGAAAATTGAGTTTATTGGCGTTTCTTTTTTAGAGAACGAGACATCTGATACATATGTTCTACTTTTCGAGAATGTGAATTTCTTCATAAAATTTCTTCATAAAACTTATAACGTAAGAAATACATTGCGACATCTTGTTAATCTTTGTCCCCGAAAAAATACTGATTTTTGAGAGCGAGGCTTTATCCCTGTTTACTTTGAAGGATCGCTTGCTGATGCATACATAAACGATACACGGTATCGGATCCCGGCTTATTCTGAGATGCATCATGCATAAAACTCTCGCGCGTTTACACATGCCTTTTGATTTGCAAATAACATTAACGCGGCGCTAAACATGATAGAGTTGAAGCTAATCCAATTCATCTGCGATCAGTTACGAACATAGACCGAAATATATTCTGCAAAAAAGATGGGGAAGATATAAGATATCGAAATTTCTTTCACAAAGATAAATTCTTAATCTTCGTGTTTAAAAATTGTGACATTTATCATATTATATTTTGTGTTACAATTTTTGCGTTCTTTTTATTTGACCATGTTTTCGATCTATTGATTTTAACTTGCGTTTTTTATGAATTTCGGAATATTTCGAATATTAAATATTTGCGCATAATTTAAAACGGATAAATTCCTATCAATTAATCTATTTATTCCGTTAATACATTTATTTATTAATTTTTTACAGATAAATAATCAGCGCGCATTCTTGCGCGAAAATTGTTGATACGTGCGTTCTTCTAATCTTTCCAAAGAGACTCGTAAGAGGATAATTGAACATGACAATTTAGTATATTCGTACAAATAGGCATACGACGACATGAACATCCTTTCCGAGCATTGCCAAATATAAGTATTTGTCAGCGATTTTACTCAAAAAATATAGCAGCACTAATATTGCAGCAGTTTTATCAAAAATATTCTACAGAAGATAACATATTCTATTTCTAACATTAATCCTTTTACGGATAACGGAATACAAACGTATATATAATGTAGCATCACAAATGATTTTTTTTAATACTTGATATTAAATACTCTTTTTTTTTCATTAGAATATAATTATCTAAATAAAAAATATTTCTTAATCTCTTTGATTGAAGAGATTACAAAGTTTATAAAAGTAATTACATCTGATGATTTATTTTTGTATATTTCCGTAATTTCGTTTTTATAGAAATATGATACATAAATGTTTTAAAATCTGATATAAAACGCATTGATTCTCGTTCATGGAATTTTTTTGAGACACATGATAAAACATATAACTTTCTAATAGAATTGTGGAAAAATTTAAATTTAAATTGTGCAAGTTTTTTCCTTGAATATTCGTTGAATATCACAGACTCTGGGCGAGCGAATTACTGCAGCACATTTGATAGTCAAGGAGAATTATCGAGTTGAAAAAGATTAAAATGACGATCAGGCACAAGCGAATCTAGAGTGTGTTTGCGTTCTTGATTCCATTATAAAAGCTTGTCTGACCATGGTTCACCGAGAATAAGGTCCGCGATGATAACACGGGCAAAAGGTCAAAATAAATAAATGATCTCTCTTATATCTTGGGCGCGAGAAAGCGTATACAAACAAATTTTCTATATATTGCTAGTAAACGAGATATTATACGCGTTGATGAGAATTGCAACAAAAAAGTATTTCCACATTAGTTAATATAATAACAAACAGAACAAATAAAATGTTCGTTTGCAAAAAAATAAATTGAAAAATCTTTGCAATTGTTAGACGGATACTGTTGTATAATTTATTATCAAATACGTCAAGAATTATTTTATAAATAAATGTATTTTCTAGAAAAAAATTCGGAAAAGTTTTACGAGAAAATAAGTAAGAAATTACAAAGACAATTGTTTTCTGCGCAAATGAGAGAGAAGCGAAACACTTATTGTTAATATATTAACATGTATATCGGTTCTCGGAACCGATAGAGAGAAGGAAAACGTTAGTGTTGCTTATGTAATGGTCGTATGAATCAGAACAGCCAACAAACAACGTCTAATGGTACATTTATCCTGTGCTCCGATAGATATGACCTTATTCTCTAAATGATAAAAAAGCTATTGACTAAAATTTTATTTTTATAAAATTAATAGGACGTTCTAGTTTTTAATAATTCTTTGATCAATTTAGAGTCAATATTTTCTTAGCGAAAATATCGAAAGTTATTATTTATCACATTTATTGTCCTCCAATTTTTAGTATCAATAACCTTGTAATAACGAAATTAAAATTATATGAATTTAATCTAAAATTGATTGGAAAAGTTTTGTTATCTAGTTATCTCAATAAAAGTTTAGTTTATAAAGATTTCTTTCTCAATCATTTAGATTACACTTGATAGTTATTGATGTATTTTTGGGTCTCGGTACATTTCGGTTAAATCGATCACATCGGAAATGTACGTGATTATGTCAAAACGATTAATGATTCAGTCTCGTGTTATTGACTTTGTTGATAATAGATATATAGCTATGTATCGTATAAGGCGAATGTATCTGATTCTTAGGCCATAATAAGAGAAAATTTCAAAGGCGAAATCTATTTTTTAATCGTTTTTATTATGAAAAGAACGTTTATGTACAATTATAACGCCTCTTTGTATACATCTACATATAACTGGATTTCTAAACTATAACAAAATATTACGCTATGCTTGTCATATATATGAACTGCTTAAAATAAATCTTTTTGACAGTTAAGTCATAATTTTTAAGATTCTCGGTAAGGATAAAATAAATAAGATGTCGTGAATATTCCACCGATCGCTCTTACACGATTTGCTAGATTTAATCGATTTCATTAGCGGATGTTAATTTAACGATACGTTTATTTTTAACCTTATTGTTAAAAATCGACAATCTATAATTATTAGCGACGACGATTGATATCGATAAAATGAAAAACAAGATTAAAAGCTTATTGATGATAAGTCAATAACCTCAATGTAAATTCTCTTAATGAAATTGAAAAATTCAATTATCGCCATGATAATGGGTATCATAAAACAGGATTGGATTGCAGTAGCAGAGATGACTTTACATTATGCAATATTACATATAACTCTGCTGTGATAATCTACGATGTATCATGAAATCTCTTTTCTAACGATAATAACATTTTTTAAATGTAAAAAGAAAATTGGGCATAGAATATCCCAAACTTTTTTTTACATTTATACAAAATATCTACATTTATACATTCTGCATTTGTACAAGTAGTAAAAAGATCAGTATTGCCATCAGTCGCCATATACCTTCAGTCACATGAACATTATAGAATTAATATAGAAAGAAGTCATTCACGACCAGCTTCAATATTCATTAGATAAAACATTTTTCTAATCAATTTTCTCGTGGATATTGATTGATTCCGAGAGCATTCGCTAAGTAATATTATCTCTGCTAATGCAATACATGCCCAACTTAATGCACTTGTACTAGTAACAAAGTCACGAGTGTCTTAAGTAATAAGTGCGATTAAGTCTTGACATAATCCACTCCATGCATCTCGGCTATGGATCTTAATCTAGAAAAATACAGTTTATCTTGTTCTTTCCTTCCTTGAGAGCTTGTACTCGCATTGAGTTCTCGGGAAAAGATTTATTAGAACCGCGTAAACCTTCATCAAACGTTCAAATGTGCCCTTGATGATCCGGTTATATATCCGTATATATATCATCATACATATATCTAAAATTTCATACAAGAGTTTTCGAAACATAAAGATAAAATGATTCATGTTCTCTAATTTCCCCCGACATGATCATTGAACGATTCATATAGATTATAATACATAATAAGTATTCTTCGCTGATGAAACCGGGACGATCGTGAACATTGGTCAAGTTTACTATTTTTCAGGCGATTTCCATTTATAGAATTTGATCGTCGGTTGCGTAAAAAACTTTCGAACGATGATGTTGACCCTATTCCCGCTTATCTTGCTTCAAATTATGCGGATATTCAAGCATGTCGCCTTCATCTGAAATTCAGATACGGGAATAATTTCACGAATCGCGCGCAACCGGTCTTATTCGATCGGTCTCATTAAATTACCTTCACCTTCATCCTCGCCCTCCGCCAAATGAATATCATTCTTTTGCTGCGGCTCTTTATCGTAATCGCCGCCATCATACTGATCGTCGCCACCATTAGCTTGTCCATCGTCTAATCTAAAATCCCCAAAAAATTATTTATACAATGCTAGATTGTTGAGATCGAATATACGTATGTATATTTTAGAATATATAAATTAAGATTAAATAAAATTTGGTTATATAATTATAATGATAATAAAAAATGAAATATTAATTACAAAGAAGGAAGAGGGATTTACCCAGGAACACGACCCAACTGATTGAGTTCTTCGCCAATTTCTTGTATTCCAATTAGTTGTCTCACTTTGGACCAAGCATCGTTCGCCTTCTTCTTCGCGACAATCTGATCACCGGCATGTCGCGCGGCGGGAGGATTCGCGGCGAACGGTGGATCGAGATTGCCGGCTTCGACGATCGGCTCCTTTTCCTCTTTGCTGTCCGCCGGAGCGAGTTTTGGCGGTGGCGGTTGCAAATTATTGTGAGCCACCGCGTCGTCTCGCTTTCGGATTTCCTCCTGACGTTTTTCTTCGTTGTCAATCTTCTGCTCGATAATTTCTGGAATCGGCAATACGCCAACCGGCAATTTGACCTTCGACAGCAATCTGACCGGTACGACTTTGTCAACGAGAGACGGCGACACCAAATTAGCGTTGTTCGCTACAGTAGAATTTTCCATTTTTCGCGAACTCGCGGAATCGCGCGCCGCGTTCTGAAAAAAAATTGTTCACAAGATTATATACACGGTACAAAATACACGTTTACAGATAGGAACTGCGCATTGACAATTATACCTATATTATTGTGAAACCGGTTATAATGACAGTTGCCATTTTTTAATAAATATACAATAGCATTATTGAATAAACGAAAGAGTTGTGTCTTTAGAATTCATTGCTAATATATGTTATGCAGAAAATTTTCTTCCTGTTAATCCAACATACTTTATTTTGCCATCAATAAAGCTTTACCGGATCTTTAACTCGGACGAAAAAGACAAAAGTGATTGTGTAAAGAGAAAAACTATTTCTTCTTATATCCAGTTAGTGATCAAATAATTGTGATCTACAAAGCTGTAAGTGCAATGCATAATGTAAAAAGTTTATATCTTAAGATACGGAATTAAAAGTTACATTATTAAGCAATAAAAATGCAATAGAAGAGGAACTATACTACTACACATTTTTATATAAATAAATCCAGGCTTGTCTTGCATATTTCAACAAATTCTCGAGCATTCTCTCTGACAAAAGAAATAAATTCAGTCTTATGCAATGTAAATCAATTAGCGATAGTGATACAACAAAAATGTGACGCAAAAGTTAATAGCTAGGTTGTTACAAGGTTGCCAATAAAAATACAAGCAGATAAACATAATAACAATTTATTAATGCATTATAGAACACAGATTTACAGGCACATTCAGAACGATTCGCGAGCCACTGTACATAAAAATATGTCATGTTCCTAATAACAGAAGCGAGCCTTGCAAAAAAAGCCGCGAAAAATTGGTCAAGGAAATTATATATGTACATAAAAAAATAGAATTTTTTTACGTTCTTTAAACATCCGATAATATTCGCCCGTGAATTGTATCAACGAAAATATCTACAAAATTATGCCAATAATAGCAAAAGAAAAAAATTAAAATCCCAAAAGACGTCTGCAAAAATAGTACTTAATACTTAATAAAAAAATAAAGTTATTGATGATTTAAAAAAAAAAAATGTTAGTAAAATTTAAAAAAACTTTATATGATTTGCGCAGTATTGCAGTGTTGAAAGCATTTATTTTTAAAATTGCGTTAATATCAATAGTACGCGTTATAAGCGCAGATGTATCTATTTTAAACATAAAAAAATAAACATTCTTTTAAAAACGATTTGTTGCTACAATAATTAATGCACAGATGCTTATTAATAATAAATAATATAGTATATCATTTTTTATCATGCGTGCGACGTGAATCCAATTATTTGAATTACATTCGTTAACAAGATACGTATTCTCCGAAACAGACATTCATAATAAACTCTACCTGTAACCAATAAATGCGATTTACAGTACAAAAACTTACAATAAGCATCATTAACTTTAAGCAGTGAACAAAAAAAAAAATCAAAAATATAATAGCGGTTCAAATAATATAAAATCTCGTTTTATTAAATATGCTTATAAGTTTATGCACATCGGCTACATACTTTATTCATTTATTAAAAACAAATTCTGTTATGTGTCTAGTTTAAGGCAGTAGTAGAGAAAGATTACAGTTTCAAGAAAGAAGCAATTATTCCGAGAAATCTTCAGTAAGAAAATAGAAGAATTGTACTTCTCTTTTTTTCCCATCATATAGACAATATCTATCTATCTTAAAAGCAAATATATATATTAAAAATAATTAATCCCAAAATATATTCACCAACTCCTTGTTTTATAAAAAATCGTTAGTTGATTTAGAAAATGAGATAAAAATAACCACTTTTTGTTTAAACAACTAACTAGATGTTCCTAACCCATGTGATTAACCCGTCGATTATTGCATAAAAAAATTAAAATAAAACAAAAATAATTATATAAATTATTTTATGTCACAGTTTATATTAATTGTTTGAAAAAATTATTGTACATCATGCCAATTAAATCATAATTACTATTAATATATAGTTATAATATAATTAACATTTTATTATGGTCATAATTACTATAATAATAATTATAATAATTATATTATAATTATATATATATA